CAGCACCCCATTCCACCCCCTTTGCATGCTTAACTATTCCCCACTTCCCTTAAAAACAGAAATGGAATCATTCCCTTCCTTTATGTCATCAAGGAGAGAGCCGAATGCTCATGTTGAGAGCGATCAGGAAATTTTGAGAGCAGCTAATTCCCAGGTCTCCCTGGAGGAGGCCCCATGCCTCAGGATTGGCTTTGGGGAAATCATTTGGCTGCCATTAGGTGATGGGAACCAATTGCAGTCATTTGAACACCTGATAGAACTTATTTAGTTCAGGGTCCCCCAAGGGAATGTGGAAGATTCTGAGCTCATTGCCGTTGACCTGATGTTGGCCATTTGTTTATTTGTCCAGAGTAATGCAAAGTCCAGTGCCCAGACTTGTGGATGATTCAGTGGATGGATAGACCGATAGATGATGATAGATAGATGATAGATGATAGATAGATAGATAGATAGATAGATAGATAGATAGATAGATAGACAGACAGATAGACAGACAGACAGCTGGATATAGAGGTCTGATCCCACCCTCAGGGAACTGACTGTGTTTGAGGATAAGTAGAGATGAATGTGTTTCCATGACACAAAAGAGGAGAGTAATTAGAGAAACTTCCTGAGTCAATGGCAGTTGAGGTGGAATTTGAAGATTTTGTTTCTGGAAATAGCTGTTGGGAAAGGGAGGAGAGGACATTGCAGACAGAGAGGACAGTGGTTTGGGGAGACTAGGGCTGGGCCAGCCGTGGTACTTATGTGTCAGGAGAGTGAGTTGGATTCAGAACATCCAGGTCTGAGGTGGGTTCAGAGGGCAGCCCGAATCGTCCCCGCCGCAGTGAGCAGTGAGGCCCCCTCCTCTGCCTCCCACACCCCCGGGTCTGGACAGCGTCAGGTGCCGCTTTCCCAGGACTGAGGTGTTTTCCATTCCAAACACCTGGGCTAGGTCAGTCCTGACACACAGTCAGTTCCCAGGAACACAAAGTGTCCGAGCAGCCGGAGAAATGGCGCCAGTGGGCCCATGTTCTGATGGACCTTGCGAAGCATTTTGTTTTGCCCTTCCTCCCTCAATTCCTGTGCAGCCAGCGTGTGCTTGGGAAGCAGTGGGCCTGGGCAGGTGGGCACAGAAGACAGCGTCTTCACACAGCTCAGGCGGCACCAAAAGCAAGGAGGAGAGGTCAGGCGCTTGTGCCAGAACTTCTGCATCCTCGGTTTGTGGGATAATAACAGGGGTTTGTGGGCTCTTCTCCAGAACATTGAAAGTCATGAGGAAAGTCAGAACACTTCTCAAAATAAAAGCACAGGCTTTTATATGAGTTCTGAGCTCTGGAAACTGGTTAGCAGAAGCTCCGAATGGCAAGTGCGTGCACCCTTTTAAACTGAGAACGAGTCATTGTTCGTGAATACTATTTGTTCGAAAGACAAGATCTCTCATGCAACCTCTTCCTTGGAAGGGAAAATAGTAGAGATTGCTCTTTCTATTGAAACTGCTGAGACCTAGCTCTTGAGAAATCCCCGAACCCCAATCCCTATCTGTGGAATAATTGGGAAAGCAGTGAAGACGGCCCAGATGTAAGTTCCGTTAAAGACTAGAAGACGGGTCAGATGTATAAACAGCTGTTTTTCGTAGCTCCCTCCTGAGGTTAAAGATGGGGAGGTTAGCCTGGCTGGTGTGGCTCAGCGGTTAAGCATCAGCCCAGGATCCAGGAGATCGTGGTTCGATTCTCTGTCAGGGCACTTGCCCAAGTTGTGGGCTCGATCCCCAGTGGGGGGGGTGCAGGAGGCAGCTGATCAATGACTCTCTCATCATTGATGTTTCTGTCTCTCCCTTTCCCTTTCTGTCTCTGAAATCAATAAAGATATATTTTTAAAAATAAAAATGAAAGATGGGGAGGTTAGTGAAAGGAACTAATTCAGGTTGCACCTGGACATGGGTGGTGTCCCTGGCACACATCTGGTTGTGCTAAGGCATGGAATTGGTGTCTTGGAGCTTCTGAAGTCACACCACCTAAGAAGCAGTTTGTTTCCTGTCTCGAACATTTGTGGGAAATCCAGAAACATAGGGTACGTTTGCCCAGATTCTCGGGAGCCTTATTGTGGTTTTCCTGAGCCAGAATCTAGCCTGTGCCATCTGGAAATGTCATCTGAGGGAGAAGGTCCCAGCAGTCCAGTAGGGTGTGGATTTGCCCTGAAGTTCCCCCTTCACTCTCAAAAACAGTTACCCTGCTCCTGGCTTTTCCTTCCAAAGAGCCGGTGTTGTGTTCCACAGATAGAGCTGTGTGCGGATGGAAGTATTTCCTAGTCCTTTGATAGCGAGTGTTTGATGAAGAGCCTCCAGTTTCCTGAAACTAGATCTGGTCCGAGGAGAAAAGACTAGGACGTCCAGGGTGAGATGTAGGTGGCTGAGGGTGGTGGAGACAGAGAGAGAGCCTTTTGCCCTGGTATTTGGCTCAACCTTATTTGACTGAGGCTCATGACTTTGGTCCTTTCTTCTCGGGATGCCCTGCTCAGACCAAGCAAACCCAACGACGAGGCCTCTCTGCTCAGGTGGATGTCCCTGGATGTGTGGCAACTGTCAGATGGCTGCCTGTTCCCACTGCCACATAAAGGAAACACATAGTTGATCTCCTGGGCTACAGTCAAGTCAGTTTTGGTTAAAATGCAGCATTCTGTGCTGACGTCCTAAAGTACAACCACACCCTTTTTCATTCAAAATCTCTCCTGTTAAAGAACATGCATAGCAACCGCTCTCGGAGAAAGTGCCACCGGACCACAAGCTGTGAGGCCAATCAAGGGGGCTTGAGGCACCAGTCGTGTTTCTATTTTCATCTTTTCTTAGCATATCTTCCTGTAAGCAATGCGCTGCTTAGGTCATCGGACTGCAGAAGGACCAAAGCCTTTCCTTTCCAACATGAAAAATTAGAAGAGGAAATCTGAATTTAAAATTATTTCCTCTTTTAAAAAAGGTCTCACTGCACCACTTTGATGCAGCAATTCCACTTCCAGAGGTTTTTCCTAATGAAATAAGACATGTACAAAAATGTCCATCTGAGCTGTTCCTCATGGCATTGTTTATAACAGTGAAAACTTGGAACCAACACAAATGTCAGTGTGACGATTAAATAATGTGTGCTATAATGTAGCCTTTCAAAAGACTGAGGTAGTTTATAGTTCTCATGTGGAAAGACCTCTCAAATATTAGAGGGAAAATGACTTGGAGCTTCTGGTCTAACATGTTAAGGAAAGAAATTGAATCAATAATTAATAACCTTCCAAAACAGAATGAGTTCACTGGTGAATTCTACCAAATATATAAGGAAGAAATCACACCCATTCTCTGCAATCCCTTCCAGAAGTCAGACGCAGAGGGAATACTTTCTAGCTCATCCTATGAGGCCAGCATGACTCTAATACCAAAATGAGAGAAAGACATTACGAGAAAACTACCAAGACCAATGAACATAGATGCAAAAATCCTCAAAACAATATTATCAACTTGAATCCAACAATATAAAAAAAAAGACGCACAGACCATAACCAAGTGGGATTTATCCCAGGGAGTTAAAAAGGAGACCTGGGCTGCATCTCTCAAGACTGACTCTGGGGCCAGCTTGAGGGCAGGCCCAGGAAGAAGCTCCAGGGCCAGGTAGGGGCTGTTCTCCATCTTCAGATCCAAGCGTGAGGCTCCCCAACAGAGTGAACCTAAGCGTAAACTGGATATTGGGTCATAATAGTGTGTCAGTGTAAGTTCATCAGTTGTACCACTCTGGTATGAGATGTTGGTCATGGTGAGGCTGTGCATATGTAGAGGTAGAGATATCGGGACTATCCTTACTTTCTGCTCAATTTGCCGTGAACCAAAAACTGCTCTAAAAATAGTGTGTGTTTTTTAATGTAGGTTCTCAGTAATACATGTAATATGATCCCATTTATGTTAAAAACTACACGCACACAACTGTATCCATCTATATCCACCTGTGTGTGTATGTGTGTTTGTATATGTCTGTATCTGTAGCTGGATTTATTTGTATATACCAACTGGTCGCAGTGTTACCATCAGGGTTGAGGTTGGAGGAGGGGACAGCACCCTCTGCTTACTCTGTAGTCTGTAACATTTTAGATCTTGACAAATACCTATTCACTAATGTAAATAAGGTCAAAAAAGGGAGAGCATATCTCTCTGGGTCCTCCTTTCAAGGGGACATTAAAGGGTAATGTTGCCTGGAATTTTAAAATACAAAGTTGTATTTTAAAAGCACATTTATTCATTCAACAAATATTTTTTGAGTGCCTCATCTGTGCCAGGCATTCTGCCAGGCCCTTGGGATGCCAGAGTGAAGGAGAAACAGCCCCTGTGGTCCCAGCTTGGGGTGCAAACAGCACTCACGGAGGGGAGAGTTGTTTTTAAGTTTGTTCTTTCCCCTGGACTGCAAAAGGTCTGCATCGTTTGGGAAAGCTAATTGTGATTTCTTCTCCTTAGAGAAGCCGTGCGGAGACCCGCCTTCGTTCCCACACACCATCCTGCAGGGACGCACCGGCTTGGAGATGGGGGATGAGCTGCTGTACGTGTGCGCCCCGGGCCACGTCACCGGCCACCGCGAAAGCGCCTTCACCTTGCTGTGCAACAGCTGCGGGGAGTGGTACGGCCTGGTGCAGGCCTGCGGGAAAGGTAAGCCGGCGCGGGGCTGGGCCACCTCCGCCTGCCTTCACGCTGTTAGCAGAGCATCATGCTGGGCTGCCTCCACCAAGGTCCCTTTGAAAAGAGGCTGTCAGGCCCTTAGCCTGAGTTCTGGACCTGGGGACATTGCCACCTGGGTGGTCCTGCAGCATTTCAAATGCAGGGTATCCACGCCTGAGCTCTTCGTCTTCTGTGCTGGGGTTAATAGGGGAACAGGACCCTCTCTTCTTCCATAAGGGCAGAGTTGACCTTGGGTTGACTTTCTGGCTTATTTCCCTGGAAACCCAGTCAACATGGGATGCCAGCTGTGGTTCCAAGCAACAGTCTTATGGTAAAGTGACCCCTGATCGGCGGACGGGGCTGGGAGGACTGTCATGAACACAGGAGAGGAACCGCAGCTGTGGGCTTCCCTGAGTGTGGCGGCTGTTGCGACTGGGCGTGACCCTTGCAGGGACCCTGACGAGAGCTGTTGGCTGTGTGGGGAATGGGGCTTGTTACGCAGGGTGGGTCCACTGCCCCGCAGGCAGGTCCTATCCCCTCGCACTTCAGTGATCACAGGGGTTGTCCGGAAAATAACTCCAGGACAGCTGTGCCGATGGCCCCCCGTGACAGGACTTGCCTGCCTCTGGCCTGAAGGCTCTGGCAGCCATGTGAGTCTGAAATATTTCGTTGAGACTGAAAAGATTCCTGATGGGCATGGAGCTTCCAAACCTGATCAGATTGATTTGAATGCATTGTTTACATAATGCAGGATTTCTTTTTTACATAATGAATGTGCTGCCAATGTCTGCTCCCATTCTGTGGCTTTTCCCTCTTGGAGTGTCTTTTAATGAATAGGTTTTTTATTATCATATGTTTTGCTACTTCTCATATTTTCTGTGGACCATTATTTTTTCTAGTCATTGGAAGACTAATACTTCAGTAAAATGCAATAAAAATGAATTAATGTGCCCTGGCCGGTTTTGCTCAGTGATTGGAGCCTTGGCCTGCAGACCAAAGGGTCTCGGGTTCGATTCCAGGTTAAGGGCATGTACCTTGGTTGCAGGTTCGATCCCTGGCCCTTCTAGGGACACATGCAGGAGGCCAACCAATCGATCTCTCTCTCTCTTTCTCCCCCCTCTCCTCCCTCCCTTCTACTCTCTCTGAAAAGCAATTCTCAGGTGAGGATTTTAAAAAATGAATTAACCTAAAACAAAATTAAACAAAGATATTCCAAATACGAGTACAATTTTTTGTTAAATTAAATAGACATAAAATTTGCCTGTCATGTTGTTTAAAAAAAAGCTTCTAGAAACTTCCTCTCGGTGTACCAACTTGCCTTGTTGGGTACTGGTTACGAAAGGATACAGACTGGGACAAGTTCTGGAAGCATAATTCGAGCTATCTTCTAGCACGTTCCTTTGTGGCAGGCCAGAGCTCCATGTCAGTTCTGATCGTTCACCTGTCTCAGAAAGCCAGGCAGCAAGCCTGAGTCCCTGTTTGTTGACGGTGTCACCTCGAAGGGGACCCATACTCAGCCTGAGATGGTCAACGAGCTGGCTTCATTTCTGCTCAAGCGCTGAAGCCGCCCCATCCCCTGAGCCACACCCACCAGCCCAGCGGGTTGTTTACTGGCCCCAGCAGAGCCAGAACTAAATGCAGGTTTTGTGTGTCTGAAATGGTGTTTATTTTCTCACTGCAGAGCGGAGCTGTTAGAGCTTTCAGCTGCCGGGCAGGAATTTCGGTTTCTACACTTGGCTGAGCACACAGACTGTTACAGTTTGCAGTGCTCTGTAGGTTTAATATTTAAAGCCTTTGTGTCATTATAAGTGTATGTATGTGTGTGTTACAAGAACATCATCACCAGCAGGTATTTCACTCCCTGTTGCATTTATCTGTCCAGTGAACATCGACTCTTTTGATTAGGGAACTGTTTGAAATCGGAGAAAAGTCATCTTGGGAGAGCGGGTCAAACACGGGTTCTGGAGTTGGACTCCCCAGGGCTTGGGTAGCACCATTCCCGGTACCGGCCGATTAGCCGCTCCTTCACTCCCTCCCTCCACGCCCCTTCACTTGGCAGCGTCCTGGGTGCTGTGCATACAAAGTTCAGCAAAAGTGCCCCAACTCCAGTAAACCTAGGGGGCCTCAGAGGAGACAGAAAAGCAGCAGACGAGAAGGGAAAGCTGGGAACGAGGTGTCCCAGAAGGCGACGTTTTAACGCAAGTGTGTTTCCAGAAGAAGTGCGCAATGAGCTCTGGGTTCACAGCACAGTGTCCTTGCCCTTTATGGGGAGCGGGGCGCACCTGGGCCGCGCGGCTGTGGGCACGGGCATGCGGCAGAGTGGGCACGAGGGCCGAGGGCAGACCGCCCATCTGGACTGTCTGCTGCCCGTGAAGAGAGCTCGGGAGAGACAAAGGGCACACACCCCGCAAAGGGGGCCAGGGGCCAAGGAGGCAGTGGGAGTTTGTTTCGTTTTGTTCGCTTGCTCCGTTTATAAGACGAGAGAGACTGAAGCTTACTTAGATGACAAAGGAAAAGCTTGGAAGGGGAGGGGACACTGAACAATTTTCTTGACTTCCCTGAGCCTTAATTTGCTCATATGAAAAAATGGATGCTGTTTATCACGTAGAGCTCGCCCCATGGGGTTGCTGCAGGCACAGCACTTGGAACGGGACCTGGGAACTGGCCTGGGCTCAGTGAATGTTCATTCTCTCCCTGTCACGCTCATGCTCACCATGGAGGGTATTTCGCCCTCTCACTTAGGGGATCTGTGCGTGACACTGGCATCTCAGTTCCTTGTGTTGTTGACTCTAGCTCCTAATATGCCACATAACTAAAGGCAGTCTGTGACTTCAACCATCAGACATGAGTGAGAAGTTGGTCTTTGCCAGCAGGCATCTCAGGTTCTGGACACCAGCAGCTGGTCCTAACCAGAAAGGCATGGCCCCCGAGGCTTCAGGCCTTGATGGGGACCCCATGGGCAAGCAGCTGGTAGCTTTCTAATGTGTGCCTCCCGGGCATCTTGTACTTGTGGCCCCGCTGCCTCAGTTCTCCAGGGAGCACTTGTCTCTGTACTGGGCCCAGCCCTGACCCTCCCCACACATGGTGTGCCTGTCAAGGACTCCCCTCTCCCACCCCAGGACATTTCCTTGTATTTCCTTGTGAGCTGCTGGAGCCCACGCCAAGCCCTCTGGTGGAACCTGCCCCTATAGGCTGCCCCAGGAGCTCCTCTGTTGAGGTGTTGGTAGAGTGCCTTGCCCCTTACTCCTTTCACAACCTCTTCAGACCCAGAGAGCCTCAAGGCTCGGGTATCTTGGAGGTCAAGACTTAAAATAACTCGGTGCTTAGACAACTGTGGTCTCAGAGATTCTAGGGCCTGGGGGGAGGGGGAGGACTCAGGGCTACTATGAAGACTGCTTCATTCAAATTTGTCATTGTTGGGGCATTTGAATACTGGCTGACTCGCTGGGGTCAGATTCTCTATTCAGATGTACATATTTTGTCCATAGAGAAGGGGGTTAGGGAAGCAGGGTAGGTGGAGAGGAGGCGTTAAGGGTGTGGCCTCGGCTGGACTCGGGTTTTGCCTGGTCCCACAGGGAGCTGTGGAGCATGAACTGCACCACAGGGCTGGCTCTCCATGGAAGCAGGGAGACTAGCCTTGAGTTCCTCCGTATCAGTCTGTCATCGGCTGCAGGCGGCAGGCTGACGGGCAGGGAGTGCAGATGGCATATAACCTCCCAAGCGAGGCTCCCATTCCACGAACGCAGTTTTCTAGAGAAAACTAGAAAACTAGAGGTAGCTGGGAACCATTAGCTGGTCACACTCACAGCAGCTGGGAGATGGGTGCACTGGCCTGGAAAACAGGACATGGGCAGGACACCAAAAGCATCCACTACAATGGAGAACCGAGTTGCTCCATTAATTCAGTGGAGCTTGACTTTAAAAAAAATTCCTTAGTAAGGTGGACACTGCCTGAATGCTCTTGTGAATGAGCTTGCTGAAATTTAAAATGTGTAATGATGAGCCGGAATGAACTCCTGGGGCAAGCACCCCTGGGTGGGTGAATGAGGGGGTCATGGAGGAAGGGGCCTCACCACACAGCCTGGGCTGTACGTTCACCTCAACGTGAAGGTTCAGCCTCGAGTGGGGCCTTTGTAGCTTTGACCATTAACCTAAGTGGGTGAGAACTTATTTAGCTGCGATTTTCTCCCCTCCGTGGGTTAGGATTTCTCCAGTTTTGGTTCCTAGAGTCTGAGTCTGATTCTGGCCATTTAGTTTTCCATTCTCCTGTCCAAATCCACACATCTTCTTGGTTTCCATTCCCAGTTGGGCAGCACAGAATGTCTGTCATACCTCTCCAATGTTCTCAGTATCTGACTATAATTGGTTATTGCCCTAATTAAAGAAAAATCTGATCCTTAAGCATGTATGCAGCAGACTTCCACGCTGTGTTTGGATTTCTTTGGGCTTCTTGCTATGCCAAATCCCGTATCCATCTTTAAGATCACGTTTTCTCTCTTGCTGCTTGCACCCTAAGATCAGCCTCTGACCTCCCAGCATCCCACGTGGCCAGCCTTGTCCACATAACCTCAGTGTCAGTGCCCACAGGAGTCTCAACTTGTGCCTTCCTAAGGAGCCCTCATGGTTCCCTTGGCATCCTGACTACTCCCGTAACCGCGCTCCTGGCCTCACGGTGGCTTCAGCACCGCTGCTCCCTCCTGACTCTTGCACTCAGTGGTCCTGTGGCCTCCGCCCCTCCTTTTATCCCGTCTTTGTGGCTGCGTGGGAGAGAACAGAAGCATGAGACAGACAGCCCAGGCAGGGTGTGAGAGATGCATAGGTTCTTCCTCTATGATTTCCCCTGTTCCTTCTTTAAAACTGGCCCTGACAAAGGCTCCGAAAGGCCTGTAAGATTTTCCGGCCCAAGCTCCATGGCTTCTGGTTGCACTTTCTGGTCTGTAGTATCAGGAAGTGAGTGACACCAAGCTTGACCCTACCAGCGCCACCGCCTC